AGACACGTTGAAAATTTTTAGTCAATTGGAAAAATCGTTGAATGTGGGCACCAACTGGCCACTTTGAGGGGTCCATAGCGGCGTCGAAATTATCTTCATAGATGCTGACCTTAAAAGGGGAATAGATATCCGGATATTTCCAAAGAAGTTGTTGACATTTAACTTCCGGGAAATTATGTTTCACGAGTTCAGTCAAGTCTTGGGCTTTCATTGACGGATCAACCCTGTACACGTGCAAGTTGGCGAATTTGGGAACCCCCTTCACCTCTCTTCCGTTAACTTCAATGCTGCTATTGTTTCCTACTATGACAGTTCTCTTCGATCGTCTCTTGTTTGAGGCTATTTGCCAGCTTCCCTCAGAGTTGTTTGGCTTAGATTTTGCATCTTCGGTCACCAAGTTTATGTAAGTAGAGCACTTCTGGTTAGTGCTCACCTCCTCGAGTGCTTGTGAAAATTCTTAAGTGGTGATTACGCTACCTGAGGAATTTCCACACATGTTGGCAACCTTATCTGTTGGTGATTTATCATTCTTCGATGTATTTCTTGGCGGGGGATATCTTCTGGCGTTCGGATTTGAACTAGTTTTTGTACCCACCGCTTTTTTATCATTGTTGGTCGATATGGATTCTCTAGTCGATGGTATTTCATCTTTATTTATAAGTCCTATTTGTAGACTGAGAATTTGAATTTTTTCTCTCAATTCATGGATAATTATATCTTTCTGCTTGATGATGTAATTGAATATATTGATATCTACCTCTTTATCGGGATTGAGGTTCTCCAATGCGTCAAAAAAAGCACCATCCATGTCAGAATAACAACGTGATGGCTCACAACAGACGAAAATGTCATCAATGAATTTTCCTGCGTCCACCGAGCTCAGATGTTTTGCACATTTCTCATGGTAACCACTATCACATTTTGGACACTTGAATGCATTCACTGCTTTTTTATTGCACTTTTTACAGTTTGTAGAGGCTGTTGATTCGGGTGCAGATATATGCGCGTCTTCACTATTACCGGCCATGTTGCCTGTAAAAAAAAGTATCTTCCGTTTTTTTGTATCTCTAATAATGACGAAAAAAAAATAATAGGATAGATATTGCAAAAATTCACTTTTTTCGATGGAACTCAGAAACAAAAATAATTTTTCGAATTTTTGAAGGCTCTTGATGTGAGCCTCCAAATGCGCAACATTTTCCTCATTCAAACGACTTCGTATCTCCTACCGCTTCCGAGATGCCAATGCTGTTCAACCTTACCTTGGACAGACTGTATAAGCTGCTTTGAGCCTTAAGTGATACAGAAAGCTTCGGCTTGCCTTCCAGCTTCATTTGTTTCAATGGATACGATTCAAGCAGTGTTTTGTACATTGGAATCACCCATGATGATGATTCCGGTTGCAGAATGGTTTAGGATGAATTTGGTCAAGATTCAGAGACAAGAATTCGAAAAGCTCTACATAGGATGTATCCTGTTTCTGGATATCGAGTTTGAACCACATAACTTCAAACTTATTCGGTTCCAAAGTTTTCTCTTGATGACATGAGGGATTTATATTGAAATAGAGACAAAGGCCTTCCTTACACCTGAAACGTTTGTGGAGTTCGTACCCAGAACAAAGCCGATATGACTTGATTTTCAATTTGGAGGTGTCGAAGGACATCGTTGATGTTCTTACTCAGACTGCGGATGTTACATTGGTCTATCTTGAGGACTTCTTCAGCCGATGATGAACCTCCACTAGAACGTTCAGCAGAATGAAGAGGTATTTTACTCCTGGATAATTTCACTTGAGGAGATATAAACTTTCACTTGTTCCGTAATACCTTCCCAAATCGCGAAGAAACATAACGGAATAACATATATTCAAATATAAATAAGACGTTCTAGAATCATTCATGTCAGGCAACAGGAAAAACAGGCAATATTGGAAAATCGTGTAAGTATTTGTGATGTCTTTCAGACATCCTTCGGGGAATAGACACGCGATTGTCTGAAGTCATTCATGGCAAACCATGATAGACAGATTCTTGGTTCTCTTGATTCAATTTGAAATTATTTCAACTTCCTTATCATCTAACACCATACATTTCATTTCAGCTTGATCCTTCATGAGTTTATCACCTTTTTGTCCATTACTGCTCTATTATACCTTGGCAACGGTTGTTATCAACAGACCCATAACGCCTGGGGTGTCACGAAGGACATTATGAATCATTCGTATTCATCTCCATTATTTTTATTCGCGGCAGCCAAGATCCGCATCTGACTTTGCGATGACATGAAAACCACGGAAAAACATTACCTGCCACCTGCCATTGCTGCTTTCTTTGTTTAGTCTTATTCGCGGTGGCCGGAGTCATCATCTGACGTTGCGATGACATGAGAATTACGGCAAAAAATGTATAATTTCCAATTCGAGCCAGGAGTTGGGAATGTTTTTCCGTGGTTTTCATGTCATTGCAAAGTCAGATGATGATCTTGGTTGCCGCGAATGAAAATAATGGAGATGAATACGAATGATTCATAATGTTCTCCGTAACACCCCTGACGTTATGGGTCTGCTGGTAACAACCGTTGCCAAGGTTGAATAGGGACAAAAAGGTGATAAACTCATGAAGGATCAAGCTGAAACAAGATGTATGATGTTAGATAATGAGGAAGTTGAAATAATTTCAAATTGAATCAAGAGAACCAAGAATCTGTCCATCATGACTTCAGACAATCGCGTGTCTATTCCCCGAAGGATGTCTGAAAGACATCACAAATGCTTACACGATTTTCCAATATTGCCTGTTTTTCTCTGTTGCCTGAAATGGATGATTCTAGAACGTCTTATACATATTTGAATATAATATGTTATTTCGTCATGTTTCTTTGCGATTTGGGTAGGTATTATGGAACTAGTGAAATTATATATCTCCTCAATTGGAATTATCCAGGAGTAAAGTACCCCTTCATTCGGCTAAAGGTGCTAGTGGAGGTTCATCATCGGCTGAAAAAGTCCTCAAGATAGACCAATGTTACATCCGCGGTCTGAGTAAGAACATCAACGATGTCCATCGACACCTTCAAATTGAAAATCAAGTCATATTGGCTTTGTTTGGGGTACGAATTCCACAAACGTTTTAGATGTAAGAAAGGCCTTCGTCTCTTCTTTGAAATAAATCCCTCATGTCATCAGGAGAAAACTTTGGAACCGGATAAGTTTGAAGTTATGTGGTTCAAACTCGATATCGAGAAACAGGATACATCCTATGGGGAGCTTTTCGAATTCTTGTCTCTGAATCTTGACCAAATTCATCTTGAACCATCCTGCAACCAGAATCATCATCATGGGTGATTTCAATGTACACAACACTGCTTGAATCGTATCCATTGAAACGGATGAAGCTGGGAGACAAGCCGAAGCTTTCTGTATCACTCATGGCTCAAAGCAGCTTATACAGTCTGTCCAAGGTAAGGTTGAACACCATTGGCATCTCGGAAACGGTAGGAGAAACGAAGTCGTCAGAATTGGAAAAAAATTGCGCATTTGGAGGCTAATATCAAGAGCCTTCGAAAATTTAAAAAATTATTTTTAGTTTTTGAGTTATATCGAAAAAAGTGGATTTTTGCAATAACTATTTCATTATTTTTTCTCCGTTATTATTAGAGCTATAGAAAAGCTGGAGATACATTTCAATAGCAACTCTTGATGACGTTCAACGTGGTGAAACCGATTTTTCAATACAACGTTTCTCATCCGTAAAACCATAATAACATTTGTTTTTTGAAAATGGTCCTCATAATTTTTTCACAGATTCTGAGAGGTTTTTTTGTTCTGAATTCGACCATATATTATACAAGGTGATTCGAATGTGTTTCGACCTATTTCTATTCATCATCAATGTTTTTTTGAACTTCCAAAGGAAAAAAGCCATCAGTTCCACTTATTTCTGACCATTTAGTGTCAAACTTGATGGATTAGTTATTCAATACTGGAAAGTGGATGAAAAAAATTTCACATAATTCGATCAATGCAGCGCTTTGAATTGTTGATGAATTCTCACACGAATCACTTTAACAACTCAACTTTGACAATACCTACAGAGACATTCAAAACAAATGTTTGAAATAATAACCATTATTTTCTGAACAAAGATATCCTCTTCTCACAGTTGCTTCTAAGACATTGCTTAGCATTTCTGGGGTTATAACTTAGCCATACCGTTACCGAACCTATAATAAACCTCGCGAAGTGCTGTAATCTTGATGTTCGTATCTATGGTAGGTTCTCCAAAGAAACAAAAAAACTCACGTACTTCGCGAGGTTCATTATAGGTTCGGTAACGGTATGGCTAAGTATATAATTAGTATAGATAGGTAGGTATCCTTATCACTCGGCGTGGTAAAAACACACACTGTCCGATTTTTTGATTCTCGTCTTTAGTTCTTCCTTGAAAAGGTCAGTGCCAATTCCGAGAAGTTGCCAGATTGTGAAAAAGTAAGGTCTGAGGCTGTTTCGCGAAAAATTATTTTGAATATTGCAAATTTGTTAATTTGACAGAACATATGACATACACAACTTGAAAAAAGCGTAGGGACGCGACATACACCACACCAAAATGCGAAGAATTTTGATCTCCAATTGGTAGTGGACACAGCTTGCTCACGGGCCTCTTCAGAAGACCTGTTGCAGTTTCAATGGTGGCTACCCTTACATGCCCATCTGCCCCAGGAAATACCTCCTGAACCCTTCCCAATGACCATTGTAGTGGAGATGAATTGTCTACCCTGATAACAACCAAGGTACCAGTAGAGATTTGGGTACTTGGATCCAACCACTTGCTCCTTTGATGAAGGGAATGCAGGTATTCGCGTGACCAGCGCGGCCAGAAATGTTGGTGCATTCGCTGGATGAGCTGCCAGCGTGATAATCGGTTGGGGTTAATATCCAGAAGAAAAGGTTCTGGAATGGCTGTTAAGGGTGTCAAAGTTAAGAAGTGGCCTGGAGTTAGCGCACTGACATTATTAGGATCATTGCTCAGAGGCATAAGAGGCCGTGAATTCATGACCGATTCAATTTGAATGAAAACCGTTGGAAGCTCCTCGTACGTCAGGAGTTGGTCACCAATGATTTTGAGCAAATGCGTCTTGACTGATTGGATATTCCGTTCCCACAAGCCACCAAAGTTTGGACTCGCTGGAGGGTTGAAATGCCAGTGAATGGCTTCTTTAGAGAAAGCCTCTTTATTTAAACATGGATAGTTCTCGGTAAGAGCCGATGAAATTCGTGCCACAATCCGAGTAAATATCAGAGGGTCTGCCACGTCTGGCAATAAAGCGTCTGAGAGCTGCTAAAAATGCAGCCGAAGACAAATCGGAAACGAGTTCTAAATGAACAGCTTTTATGGCCATACAAATGAACAGACAAAGCTAGGAATTCAAAGTTTTGGCTCCCCGGGACTTAGATAAAGTAATTCGAACAGGTTTGGCGAAATCAATGCCAATATGTTGAAATGGTTTGCATCGTGAAACACGACCAGGAGGAAGATCCCCCATCGGAAGTTGCAGATGTTTTGGTCTAATTTTCCAGCAGCGAATACATTTGGCTAGTACTCGCCGAATGGAGCGTTTGGCCGAAATGATCCAAAACTGTTGGGTTATGAGGGATTGTACAGTCTGATTACCTGCATGTGAATATTTTTCATGGAAATAAACAATGAGTAGATCGGTGAATAGGATATGATTGGGAAGAAGAATAGGAAACTTGGGATCATAACTAATAGGAGCTTGCGATAAGCGTCCTCCTTGCCTGATGAT